CCTAGACAGAGTGATCACAATTCAAAGGTCTTAGACAGAACTATTACATGTCCCTGGCCCTAGACAGAGCGATCACAAGTCCCTGGTCTTGAACAGAACAATAACAAGTCTTTGACCTTAAACAGAGCGATAACAAGTACCTGAGACAAGGCAGGTACATGGCCATGACTGCTCTTATTTGGATGAATGATAACTGTTAACGCTACACAGTGTACAATGAATAACAATATTAAGGCCAGTGGCATCAATCTAGGCTACAGTAGGGAAGTAACTCTCTTCCGATTTTATGATTTCGAGGTGTCTTTAATCTTTATAGCCAGTATAAATTTGCCACTGCGGTTCCTAGTATAATTCAAGCGTAAAGTTTCGTTATTCCAAACGAAGAGAGACCAAAAAATACTTCGAAATCTGGATAGCGTCAAGGTATTGTTCCTATGACGTCATATCGATTGTCATCACTGATTGTTCTGAAGTTCTACAGAAACGGCAGAATTTTCACTTTCCCTCACAATTTTGACAACATTATCAAATAATCCTGATAATTTTCAAGAATTTTGTGAATTAAGGTGAGTTTTTAACATTTCTTTATTGTGTTCCTGTTATTTTAGAAATTTCGTCCAAGGTTTTGATGTTTTTGTAACACTTCGAACGGTTTTGAAAATCTTATGTCCTTGGTGTTTTAGAAACTTTTGTTAACTTTATATCTTGAAATAATCATTTTGAAAATTACCATATCTTATTCTACACAAGTCAATTTCAAATTTAAGAAACATTTTACTGAAATCTTCGATTGTTTCTTTTCTTTCAGTAGTCATGTTTACGATAATTTCCAAAATTCCACCTGAATCAGAAGTTCCTGAAGTAGGAATGTTTAGACGAAGTCCAGCTGAAATGATGAGAGATTTTGCAAGACAAAATCTACATTTGGACGCGTCCAGAAATGATGAACCAAGCTCTGGAGATCCAGCAACACGACATGTGAATGTTATACGTAGTGAAAAGTCACCCGTTTTGACTAATGGTTCATTACGTCTACTGCAGTCTACGAAAACGGAAACAGAAACGTCTGAGAATGTTCCAGTCGGATCTGATGACGACCTGGTGAAGAAATTAAGACAAAAGAATCTATATTTAGATTTATCGCAGTATGTAATACCGAAAAAACCTGCTGTGGATTTCTCCAAATACGTCATCAACAGACCTGAGGTTCACAGTGATTCCACTGACATTAAAGATGAATCCAAAGACGTTATGAAAGTCCCGGATGTCCATTTAGATAACACAGAAGGGAATGGAAACATAAAACGTTAGTATACTCTGAAATATTTATTAAGTTTCCATCTGACACGGCTAGTGGACAAGACTATCCCCGAGGTCATTCTTCAATATATTCTTGAGTCCAGATCCAAAAACTGAGTCCAAGTCCGATAACTGAATGCGAGAGCCTTTGTCTATAATAAATACTGTGATGGTATCACCAGCAAGGAAGGACATGCCCACATTTACGGAACATCTGATGCTATTCTGGGTTAGCCATCTCAACATCCCAAAAGGAGAGTCAAAAGTCTTTATTTTTCAAAAATCTCCACCTAATATCTCTTTGAGTAATTTGTTTCAGAATATGAAATATTTTATCATTTCAGAAAAGAAACCATCAAGATTTCAAAGATTAAGACGAAGTTTACAAGATTTAAAGAAAAGAGTAACTCGACCTTTTACACTTTTAACAGGCTGTTTCAACTCTAAACAAAACAGAGAATAAAATGGAATTATAACTTGACGGAATACTGTTTATATTTTGAGATGGAATATTTATATTTTTATATAACCTATTGGGCATTTTTATTTTGGATAAATGTATGTTTTTTTTAATTTGCATTCCTCTTTCTTTAACACCTTTGAAGTTGACGCTTTTTTTGTCATAACAAGGAAAATTCTTTGACCTTAAACTGACAGAGCACAATACCCCGGCCTTACGCAGAACGATACCAAATCCCTGGTCTTATACAGAGCGAAAACAAGTCCCTGATTTTAGACAGAACGATAACAAGTCCCTG